GAATAGGGTTTAGCCAACTCCACCCCAACTCCGTCCCATTGCCATCCCTAAGCAAATGGCAGCACAGTTTATAAAATAGTTAATTTAATTAACTAAGAATTCAATACTTATTGTTGAAAATACGCACACATTTAGGGTCAAGTGTAAAAACTACTCCTAAGGTATGATTATAGTGCATATCACACCCCTCACGTGCAAAAAAACACTCCTAAAATTTCAATTTGGTGCAAGTAGGTCTGTATAAAAAAATTTAAACTCTAAGTGGATTAAATTACCCTTATTGAATTATTTTATAAAATATATAAAAATAAATAATTTTATAAAATGACCGAAAAGGACACTATTGTAGGATACCCCTCTCGTGCAAAAAAATACCCTTAAAATTTTAATCTGGAACAAATAGGTCCCTCTGACAAATTTAAATCCTAAGTTAACAAAACGAACCATTTTATAATATGTATATATATAAATAAATAATTTTATAAAATGACCGAAAATGATACCATTTGAGGAAGTCGACAATGGACAAGTAAAGATAAAAATATAAAATAAAAATAAAAGTATAAAAGAAAAGTAAAGATAAAAATAAAAATAAAGTGTAAACTAAATAAAACAAAATTTTTCCAAACTCCAAAAACCAGTGCACACTGATATTGAGAAATTTTTTTTTTTCTTTTTTTTTTTTAATAGTGTTGGTATGAAAAAAAAAAAAAAAAAAAAAAAAAAAAAAAAAAAAAAAAATAGTAGAAAATTGTAAACTAAAATCTCAATAAATTCAAATCCTTATTCTACAAATTGTCAAAGTTTAAAAATAATAATAATAATAATAATAATAAAATAAAATAAAATAAATTGTTTAGAGATAGATATATAAAGAAAAAAGTTCCAATATATATATATATATATATATATATATATATATATATATATATATATAAGGTAATGTACACATAACATCTATACTATGAGATTAGTAACATATATATCCCCTTTGGGCATTTTAGAAAGAGTAAAAGGGCAAAACGGGTATTACAATACTAATTTATGTTAGATGGGATATTTTTGTACAATGTAAAAATATTAGAGGTGTTTTTTGTATACTTTTTCAAATAGGGGGTAAAAGTAATACGCAAAGTATACTTTAGGGATATTTCTACACTTATCCCCCCACATTTATATTAATATATATAATTTTACCAAACTCTTTTTTCTTTTTTATTTATTTATTGAATTTAAAGAATCTAGTAGAGTAATTTAAAATAGGGTTAATCCAATTCCAAATCACCAACACATGCACGCCAAACATATTAAAAGGTCTTCCTACTCGAAGTCACCAGTGTCATCATGTTTTAACATTTTAGAATTGATTTGATCCGAGTCATTTCAAAATTGAACCAAACCAAATACCAGTTATCATGAGAAAATTTTAGAATTCTTTGGGTTTTTATTTGCAAGAGGCGGTTCTACTAGTTTTAATAGTTTGGTCAATCTGAATATCTTTAAATTATTGAATTCGAGTTGATTTAGGTTATGTTCGGTTGTTTGAAATTAGAATTGATGTAACTTTGAACTAAAATTTTCTCTAATTATATCGATTCTAAGGTTTTAATTCTATGCAACCGAACATAGTCTTAATTCTTCCAAAAAACGAATAAAAACAAATCATGTGTAGTTCTAATTCGCATGAAAAAATATTAAGAGGATGACGGGATCAGTCACAAGAATAATATCAAAATTTTTAAATAAAACCCGACTACCTAACGCCTAAATAACTATCTTAAACAAATTTTATATAAAAAAATTAGATTCTTTTTTCCTAGTTGAAGAAGTAAGAGGCTGATACCGCTAGACCTGTTGGTAAAAATGTTACATAACTCAAAACTCAAGAATCATTATCAAAGCAATTTTCAAGAAATATGACAGCAGATTCTATATATTTCTATACTCCCTGGCCTCCAAAAAAAAATTGTTTAATTCCAACTCTCTTACCTATACAAACGTAACATAAGAAATACCACTCTTGTATAGTGTGCTCATTGAAGAATGGGAACTCTCAGCCTTTGTTATTAGGCCGGCAAAGCCTCCGGACAATAATTAGTCCTTGAAGGGCGAGAATTCTTCTCCATGTTCACTGCTTTGTGTTTGTGTCCTGTCTCAGGCATCAGTGTTTTTTTTCTGTTGCTCTTGTGTGGGCTGCTCTGGGTTGGGCCTTGTACTCTTGGGCTTGTATTGTTTGGTTAGCCTGGACTAACTATCCCGCTTGTACGGTGCTATTTTGATGCACATGAAACCTTGCATGTTGTTTTGATGTTGGAGGCTTTGAAATTTGTACTGTGCACCAAAACTTTTCACCGTGCGTCTAACAATACCTAAGGATTCCAAAATTCTAGAGACAATGTGAACAGCACGAAAAACATTGATATAGTATGATTTTTAAAATGGATCATATGAATGGATCATATGGGACTTACTAAAGTCATGGTACTCTAGAAGCCAAAAATTTAATGAAATAACAAATAACTAAATTTTTGGGACATTTCAACAATATTCTATTAAGGAAAGGAGAGGGAAACCATTGGATGACAAAAAGAAGACTTGAGCGTTATCACAGTTCTTTATCATATTCCTTGGAATTCAAAAATCAAATGCCAGCACAGTGTCTAGAAGAGAATAACTAATTAGGAGTGAGTTCACACCTCTACACCAGCATGAGGTTCGTGGATAAAAGAATAAAAAAATATAAATATACACATTGATATTAATATAATATAAGCACACAAATATAGTTTTATGCATTATAAAATGCTAATCAAGTGAAAATTGTACTAGGCTCTTATGTAGTTTAAAATTTAAAATTTTCAATCAAATCCATTAACATGGCTCTCATGTCACTTCCACTCGAAGACAGAATTACATCTATTAATTTTCTTTTGCCTTCGATATTAAAATTATAGTGAAGATGTTGACAAAAAGCTCCTCCACCCTCACGTCATCCACCACGTTGACACGATTTGTCAAGTGACTCAAAAACAGTACACAAAGTTATCTAATTTAAGTTAAACATTACTTGTATCAAATTAATTGTGTTTTGATTTTAGAGATTAATTCGTTTAATTGGATTAAATTCATTTAATTAATTGAATCAAGTCAATTAGATCAATCATAACAGGTTTTAACTCAATTACAACGGGTAAATTTATTATTTCTATATAAATCTATTATGGATACTCTATTTAGCTCTTTTTTCATTTTTAATTGTATTGTCCCAATTATTTTCATTTTCATAAATTTAGTGATCATTGTTTAATTATTTTTCATTATATTTATATTTATACTGAAGTTAATAAACATGTTATATGTATAGGTCATTAAACGAGTCATGTCATTAGATTAATAAATCATTTATTAAACAGGGTACACGAGTCATGTTGTGTTACTCATTTAATAAATTTGTCATGTTCATATCGAGAGTCTCTAACACAAATATTAAATGGATCGTACCCCTAGAGAATATTTATAGATCAATAAAACACAATTATGATTTATGAATACAAATTGCTACCTCTAAACTAGCCAAAACACCTACAACTGCTCCCAACAACAAATCATTTCTCTATCTTGCCAAACTATTTATTTTTTTACTAATAGGTCAATGGCATAAGGGTACTAGACCCTAGTTTCTAAAAGGAGATTAAGAATTCAAGTCTTAGTGAAGGTATGTGTGTGTGTGTGATAGTGTGAGTACCAATTAAGATAGAGAAATAAAAATAAAAATTCAAGGCAAGAAACGTTAGATATTGTATTAATAGATGCAAAGGGTTGAGTCTCAGTACAGACATGTGTATGTGAGAACTAAAAAAAAAAAAAAATTCAAGGCAAGAAGTATTAGATGTAGAGGTCTCATTGGAGGCATGTGTTTGAGTACCAATTAAGAAAAAAAACATAAGAAAATAAATAAATAAATTTAAGACAAAAAATTTTAAATATTAGATTAATTAATGCACTGAGTTAAAGTCTAACAGTTCAAGATCCACAAAAAAACACTAATCTATTGAGCCATTACCAAACTAATTACCCTTCAACTAATGCCATTGTTTACTACTCCTATGTTAGAACGTGCATGTGGATCAACAAAGATAATATTAATTATCTTCAAATTATCGGAGCAGGTTATCAAAATCAACAGTATGTTCACGTGTTTGACAAGACCGTAACATATATAGAGATTACAATAAATAATAATTTAATTAAAAAAATTATACATAATTTATCATTTATTGAAAATAGTTAAAGTATCTTCTCTTTTTTGACATATTACTCATTGTTTCCATTTTCTTTCTTATATCAATTTTTCATCTCTATTTATTTCAGTTGCATTTTTCTTATTTTTTGAATTATATATTACTTAATAAATATAGTAAGACAAATATTATAAACAAAATTGTGTTTTTCTTAGAACAATAGAACAAAATTGGAAACAGAGAATTTGGGTGGCCAATCATATGTGAATAAGAAAATGATAATGATGGTGATGGACGTTGGCTCGTCTACAGCATTAATTGAGATAAAAGTAGATTTCAGCCATTTTTGTACCACAAGAAAAACGTCAACACGGTATGATTCCTCCATTAAATTTTACTTGTTCCTCTTAAAAAAAATGTCATATTTTTTTTATTTAGACATTTAAATTGAGAAAGAAAGAATATAGATATGTATATATATATATATATATATGCACACATATATATGAATTAAGGATTCCATCCAACGCTCATCGTAACCTCCAAGCCAAAAGCTTTTTTTGCTAATGGGCCACTCCAGCGTTATTCTCTCGAGAAAGAATACCACAAGATTCGTCCCCACACGCATTGGGATGCCCAATGAGCATATTATCACATCACGTCAAAAAACACACCAAACCAAAAAAAGCTTCTGGAGCCGCTTCTCTCTCACATAAATCATATTATACAAATGCCACCACTGTTTCTGAAACAGAATAATTAACTGCGAATTCAACCCTTCCTTTTGATAAATAAATACACACATTTATAATAATATATGTATATGCATAATATCAAACTTTTTTAATTTTTTTTTTTTAAATAACATTTGTTTTTTTTATTGAATTAAAAGAAACCAGCAAAGACACATTCAAAATACCAAAATTGAGCCAATCAGGCACAATTGCCAATCCAAATCACTCAAAAGCATGCACGCGAAACATATCAAAGCTGGTCCTCCTCCTACTCATCATCATCATAACCCAGATCATCCTCCACCCTTTCTGCCGCCTCATCCGCAATCTTGTCCTCCACGTAATCAGCACCCTCCGCGATCGCAAGACCACCCAACAACCCTGCAGCCGCACCCACAGCCAATCCCGTCCCCATCCCCATCCCTCCAAACTTACTCTTCTTTTTCTCCTCCGTCTCATACGGTTGCTGTCCATACGGTTGTTGCCCATACGGTTGCTGTCCATACGGTTGCTGCCCATAGGGTTGTTGTTGCCACTGCTGACCGTACGAGGGCGCGCCGTATTGATACCCACCCGGTGGGCCCCCCTGGTAATGTCCCTGTGGTGGCGCGTAGGGGCTACAGTACGCCGGCGGAGCGGGGTAGTCTCTCGATGCAGAGGGTGGTGGGACACCGTAAGGAGGTGCGTAGTAGGGGTCCGGCGCACGATATCGTGGCTCGCGCACGGCGACTTTCAGCTCGACCTTGCCTTGGGGACGACCGGAGGAACGCTTCAGCTCCAGCTTGCGAAGCACGCGCTCTCCGAATCCGACTTCGTCGACGACGTCGGCGAGGGGGAGTTTAGCCCAGCCGATGAACGGCTTGGTGTCGTCGGCTGCGTCGGCGTGGACGACGTCGATGTAGAGTGTGGAGTCCTCGATCGGAGCGTTGTGGGGAATGACAAGTGTCTGATCCCAGTAGGGACACGTGTCGCCCTCGTCGTCGACCCTGGAGGAGCATTTGTTCTTGGGGTCGACCCAAACGACGGCGTACGGCTTGATCTTGCCGTGACGCCAATTCACGTTCTTGAGATCTTTAGCTGAAGAGATTGTGACTTCGACTTCGTAACGCGAACCCATTTTGAAAGGAAAAGACTTATCGGTTGAGAATCGAGAACACTGAAAGACTGGTTCAATGTGGGTAATTTATAGTCGTTAGTTTTGGACTTTTGGATGTTGTTGCTGAAGATTGCCCTTGGGTTCACGATAATATTACGAATTTGTAAAACAATAAATATTCTTTACCTTGTCTTCTTTTCTTGGTAACGGTAATCAAAAGTTCCGTGTTAAAGTACTTTATTACCCCCGTCTTCTTTTTAAGAGTCCGGATTGTGTAAATGGTGTTTGGCAAGGGTAATTCAGTCAACAAAAAGTGTAGACTGCTTAAGTGGTTTATGGATTTAGCTGAGGAAGATATTAACCGAGGAGGGTATAAACAGGGTGTGATTATTTTCAGATAGTGACTGACACGTGGTGAATTGTTAATGGTGAAGTGAGTCTGACCCATTTGTGCCGGAGACAGCCGGTAGCTTGAGTTGGTAATATGAAGTGTGGGGTCCATGTACTTGCTTATTCCTGACACGTGGTGGAATATTCGTGCATGAGTTGAATTGATTGCTGGTTAAGTAATACCAGTAGTGGTTGTAGACTAGAACAAGGTCATACTCGTATTCTACACGGTCTAGACACTGAATGGGTCGGGTTGGGCCTGAATCAGAAAAGTGGTCTTTATTTTGTTGGACCTACAATTGGGCTTACAGACTATAAAACCCAAGAATGACCAATCACAATCACAAACTCTCCATCTCAATCTTACATCGGGTGTGGTGACTATTCACTCTTATGGCTACTTTTACATGACATGCGGGTCATTGTGTTGACATGGCTAGTGGATCTGAATAAAAGGTAAAATGTGTGTGTATATATATATATATATATATATATTGAGTGTTAATATTACTTAATAATTTAAGATCACTAAGTATTAACATGCTACCATTCATTCTGAACCTTACAATGTCCAAGTAAAAAAAAAAAAAAAAATTTCAATCTTTATTTTTATTTTGTAGTTCCATTGAGTTTTTAGATAATTTTAGCAAAATAATATGCTTAGGTAAAGATTATAAAGGAGTGGAACAATGAATTCGAAAACAATAATAATAATTGAACATACAAATCTATCACATGAATTAAACAGTAAATCATTTACAAAAATTGGATTCTTCGTGTCAAATAGAAATATTTGTTCTCTTTTAAACTTTTGATATGGGTGGTTAATGGGTTTCTATATAATCCAAAAATTCAATGACATTGTCTTTGCTAAACAGGTCTAAGTTTCATGATTTTCAACTTATTCTTGAAGGGTGTTTGACAATATACCTAAAGACTATTAATATGATTGAAATATTGGTTTAGCATCCTCCAATATCTCAAAATCTATTTCTCTCAAAGTTTGGTTCAGAAAAGTGGTCTTTATTTTGTTGGACCTACAATTGGGCTTACAGAAGTAGGATTGGCCACTTACTATAAAACCCAAGAATGACCAATTACAATCACAAATTCTCCATGTGTGGTGGCTATTCACTCTTTTTACATGTTGCCGGGTCATTGTGTTGACACGCGGGTCCTTGTGTTGACATGGTTAGTGGATCTGAGTAAAAGGTCAAATGTGTGTGTATATACATATTGAGAGTTAATAACATCACGATGTATTAACATGTTACAATTCATTCTGAACTTTACAATGTCAGGTTAAAAAAATAATAATTAAATTTCAATCTTTATTATTATTTTGTAGTAGTTCCATTGAATTTTTAGATAATTTTAGCAAAATAAAATGCTTATGGTTAAGATTATAAAGGAGTGGAACAATGAATTCGAAAACAATATTAATAATTGAACATACAATTAATTAAATGACAAATCATTTATATACATTCGGATTTAAAAAAAAAAAAACAATAATAATAATTGAACGTATAACACAAATGTGATGACCTTGTGGGCGAGTGTACCGTGGGCGGATGCGAGAGACACTGTCAGGCTGCCACACTGGCGAGTTACGGGTGCACAGTTCCACATCGCCTGGGTAGAGGAAATGTGAAGTGTTTATATGTAAGTGTGTCATCTTCAATTGATACGAGACCTTTTGGATAAAGCTCAAGAGCAAAACCGTGCGGGCTTAGGTCCAAAGCGGACAATATCATACCATGTGGCTCCTAATGGTATCAGAGTTTGTACCATGTCGGATTATTCGCGTCAAATAGAAATAAATCTTTTAAACTTTTGATATTGGTGGTTAATGGGTTTCCATATATTGTTTGACAATATTCCTAAAGACTATTAATATGATTGAAATATTGGTTTAGTATCCTCCAATATCTCAAATCTATTTTTCTCAAAATTTGATTCATTTTAATTTGATTCATTTTGGTATTAAAATTTACTTCAGCTAATGATACACTATAAGGAGTGATACCTTTTAAACTTCTATTTCACGTTATATGAATGGAAAAAAATTGTCAAATCATCTTATAGGCATGAATAACAAAGTATTGTGATATTTTGTAAAAAATTAAATTAAATGTCAACAATGAGTATTTGATTCATCATCATTTCTATTTTTTATTTAACACCAATTGTTGGATCTACAGTTACACAAATAGGCTTGGTCATATAACAAGATTTAATCATTTTGATGAATGGCCCATCACAATCTTATGAGCACAATATTGACCAATATTTTACCTACAGTCATACGCAAATTATGTTACGAAATCCATTGTGGAAGGGGAAATAGCATGGAGTAGGGTTAAACTTCATCAATATATATATATATATATATATATATATATATATATATATATATTTTAATCTTCATTCTTCTTATGAGACATCATTTGTGTACCTGTATTTGTTTTTGTAGAAATGAAATAATCGTTGTTCAATTTCCTTTTTTTTTTTTTTTAATTATTTTTTTAGCATTTGGTATTCATTTTTTTTCTAACAAGTACATGACAATCCAGCTTGTAATCTCTAATATTCATTTTTCATATGGAACGTATCAAGTAAGGGTGCATCTTGGTTGTTAAAAGGGTTAATGATATGAATCCGTTCGAATAGTTGATCCAATATATATAATTCCCAATTTTATGTTCAATTTCGTAGATTTAAAATACAGTTCTAATTTCAAAAATAAAACAATTATTAGGATTGAATCCGCAATGGGATTTAAGATGTCGGGTCAAAGGTCAATAATTGTTTCAAGTTGTCATAAATAGTGAAAGTATGGTATTGGGTGTTGTGACAATGTGAGGATGTGGATTCAGGAAGTTATCTCAGGTGACGAAGTGTGTTAGGTGGAATCAAGTGTCCAATCCGATTGATTATTAAAGATCTGGTTTTGAGGATTTGAGTCTTGGGCACAAGAGGGTACACTCTATCAGTTAGGTGGCTCATGATTGTATAATTGTTGGGAGATTCATCATTTAGCTATCTTGAGGTTGATCAGTATAATAATTGCCGGTTGGTGTGGTTGGTGGTCGTTGTATAATTATGTAGTCGTATAGCCGTATGTTGCATGCCAAGTATTGCTCTGACTGAGAGGTGTAGGTCTGAGTTTGAGTTTGATTGTGTGGTAGATAGGGCTCCTTGTCTTGGACTTGTGTGTCCTTTAAAGGGATAGGTTGAGATAGGATGTTGTCATATTCAGGGGTCTTACGACTATTCTTCTTTCGAGCCTTGTGTAGGGGACTAGTGTTGGTTTTAAGTCTAGTGTAGAATTCAACCGGTTTTGTGTATGATGTTGTGAGTGATGAGTACCCTCATAAGGGGACGATCAGTGGGTTTTCTGGTAGCAGAGTGTGATTGCCTATTGGCACCGATGTCAAAGGCAATATGGTTGTTAAGTTCTTAGTCTCGGGATTTTGTGAGGTGTTCTCAAAAAGTGTGTGGCTATGAACCTCCTTCTTTTAAGGAGGGTAGATTTCGAAAACGAAATCTCTTTAACGAGGGTAGATTGTGATGTTTCCGATTTTCACTATTTTTCAATTTTTCAGAATTTCGTTGATGCATGGGCATTTTTATCTTTTCACGTGTTGTGTACCGGACACCGTGGGGTGTGCCGGGTGTGTTTGTGAGTTGTTGGGAGCATTTCATTGAGTTCGGCACTCTTTGAAATGCAAGGTTGGTCATTTCGCATTATTTATTTATTTATTTATTTTTCAGGCCGGACGGTTCCGTGTGGGACCCGCTATCGGTATTGTTGCATACGGGAATTTTGGTTGGGTTCACTTGCACTTCATGCATTTTTATTTTATGTGATTTATGTGGTATTTGTATGGTGTTGTATTTATATATATGTGGTGTGAAATGAAATTTAAAGCAAAAGAAAAAGTGAAAAGAAAAGAAAGTGGAAGGACCCACTACTATTATTTAAGTGGCCTAGAGACCACATTTGGTCTCTCAAATCTCTCACTCCCGTAGCTTTATGTTCCTCTCTCTTCTTCTTGATTTTTCTTTTTCTTTTGGGTACCAAACTTCAAATCAAGATTTCTCCTTCAATATTTAGAATTTTTGGAAGCCGTTTGCGGCAAATCGAAGCCTACGACGAGGCCTTCAAATCCATACCAGCAATTTCAGCATTTGGCACTTTAGGGAGTTCAAAAATTTGGACCCATTTTGAGGGTTTTGCACAATTTTGAGGTAGGGGTCTCTAATCCACACAATTTTACACATTTGTGAGTTAATTTTACTTAATTAGTATCTTAACATGTTAATTTGTATTGATTTTACTCTAAAGTGATTTAATTGGGTATATGAAGTATATGATTTTGTGTGTAGTTGATATTGTGCAAATTAACATGCTTAATTTGAATTGATTACTTTGAAAATGATTTTATTGTTGTAAATGAAATATATGATTATGTGTATTAATTAAATTGTGTGAAAAACATGCTTAAATTGTGAAATTTCATGTAAATTTATTTACTTGCTATGTAAAAAGGTGTGGCTATGTTTTATGTGATATATGATAATGAAAGCATGTTTAATTGATGAATTTTCATGCCCATGGTATTAAATTGTTATGTTTATGTGATGATAAAAAAAATAAAATAATAATAATAATAATAATAAATAAATAAATAAATAAATAAATAGATAAATAAATTTCTTACGAAGCATGTTAATTGTTGATTAATTTAAGCCCTTTGTGCCTTTAGTGCTAGTTTGGTGATTTGAAAACAAAATTATAATTTTACAAATTTTTATGTTGTAAAGCATGTATATTATTGAATAATAACTTGACGAGAATGAATTTCTCTATTTGTACAATATTGAGATATATGAGACATTCATGTATAGCATTGGGCATGAAAAGGGGAAAATTGTATTGAAAGCAAAAAGGGATTTTGGGACAAAGTTTTGATTAAAGTGATTTTTATGAAAACCCGGTCTCCGCGAAGCTACCAAATGGCCGTGGTGTTAATATAACCTAGAGGGAATTAGGGAGATCGCCCTAGTGTAGTTGAGCTATCTGGGCCCCAAATGATGCCTCGAAAGTACCAACGGTTAAGAACAGTAGCCAATCCTTCTCTCGTGTTACCGCGGAGTCACCAACGGACGGGTTATATTAACAGTTTGAAAAGTGATGGATTTAGATTTTGAAAATGGGGAGCAATATTCATGGCATCACACATCATGGCACGGCATTGTTATTTTGGAATTGGAATTAATGTTGTATTCCTTTCCTGCATAGTATGACCCTGCTTCCTATTTTTTATTCATTGTTTGGGTTCACGGGGTCACAAGAGGTGTGTCTTAGGCACCACCTACTGAGCTTTATGCTCACCCTATTATTTTAACATTTTTCAGGATATGGGAAAGAAGTGGCGGATGACATTCCACCACATGCCTAATTTGGATTAGAAGATCATTTTGCTATTTTTGTATCCAAGTCTCACTATTTTTTTTTTTTGTAAAACTTAGTATATTGTATTTTGTACGTAGACTTATGGACTCTTATTATTGTAATTATTGTTGGTCCTTTATATTGTAGGTCGCGGTGACCACAAGCTTGAAGAAGCATGCAATTTAGGCGAGGGTCAAGTTTTACATTTGTAAAAGCCACTACTACCTTTCACTATAAATATAGCTAGGGCGAGTAGGGATCGTCCTAAGGGATTGGAGTCGGAGTTGATTGTGGAATCGCTATTAGGGTTAGTAGGTCGAGTGATCAAACAATTGGTTGGTAGGTTGATTAAAGAACAACAAAATTAAACTAAGTAATTGAATGCAATGGAGTTTGAGTAAGAGAGAGAGAAGAGTCTTGGGGTTTAGAGATCACCACCAAGCAATGCATTTCTATATTATTGACAAGTGATTAATGAGGGCAATTAGGGTGTTGCAATATTGGTGTGTGTGTATTTGGTTAATTCAACAAGCAAGGATGACTAATTAAGTATACATTGTCTAACCAACATGTGAAAAGTACAATATATCTAGCAATTAAGTATATATTGTCTAAATAGCATGTGAAAAGCACAACATATCTAGCAAATCATTGGTCCTTTTCATTAGGCTCACAATCCAAATACAACACAAGATTAGAGACATATGCTACTTGCATTCAAAAGTATGGAGCATCAAACAACTAGCATGGATTGTCTTTCCATCTAATACTATACTATCCCTAAACTACAATTAAGCCATTGAAATTAAACTAATTTAGCTAAGAAGGAGACACAATCCATCAAGATATGAGTATGAACCATCTAGAGAATCACAAGAACATTCCTTTAAGCACTATGTTTTGACAACCTCTAAATTTATGGCATCAATACACATAGACATGTATCAACAACACAAAATCTAGGAATAAGCACATGAACATCTATTCTAACATACATAGACATATGGATATAATGAAATGATCAATTGGAAGCATTAAACCACATAAATCATTGATTAAATAAGATCTATATATATCAAAGTGTCAAAACATTAATTACAACACTAATCCCTCAATAATACACAAGATTAAGATATAGAAAGCATGCTCGGGGCTAACTCTAGCCCCAAGAGGATGTCTAGCCACTCATGGTGATGATACTCCAACCCTCAAGGGCTAACTCCATGGAAGAGGTTTGCTCCTTGTTGATGAAGATCTCTAATGGTGTCAAGCCTCCTCCTCCTCTAAACTTCCTCTCCAAGAGATATTAAAAATAATGTTGGCTTCCCTTTGAAAAAGCAATCCTTATCCTTATATAGGTAGGTCAAAATGACACCCAAAAAATGAGCTGGGGTTGATGAGCACTGAAAAGTGCGCATTTAAACCCGTTAAGCTTAAGCATTCTAGTACCTTTATCTATCTTACTTTGCCGTATTAGACTTATTACGTGTTATTTATATTTTCAGGCACTAATCCCAAAATTGAGCTAACTCAGCCAAATAAGAGCTTAATTGAAGCAATCCTGAGATAAACCAAAGGAGGGAGCAAAGTGGAAAAAGAAAGAAGCAAAAAGGAATCAAAGTTGTGCAGCTGAAAAGTTCGATCGATCCAACTTAGAGTTCGATCGATCGAACATCTATGATCGATCACAGTACTTCTTGATAGATCCAACCTTGGCCTTTGTTGAAATTCCAAGTTCGATTGATCGAACCCTATTTTGTCCTATTCAAATGATTGATCTTATCCACAGCTGTACGCCTACCAACCACTTTTATCCTTTTCCCCATAAATATCTTCGAAATATCTCAGCCTTGTTCTTATCCGGAGGAGTCAGACCACTTCGATCGATCCAAGATGCAGTTCGATCGATCGAACCCATCTTCGATCGATCCAAGTTAAGGTTCGATCGATCGAACTTCCTCCAGCGAGAAAAAGTTAAAGTCCAACTCATTTATTCCGTCCTTCACCCAATCATTGGAGAATATGCCTTGCACGACCACAGCTCATCATAGGGTGTATTTGACCTACCTATATAAGGAATATGATACACTTTTTGGTGAGGAGTCTAGAGTCTCTTGTCACACATTGAAAATCATCTTGGAGGCTATTCTTGGAGAGGAAGAAGGGAGGAAGCTAGAGCAACCATTGGAGGAGATCTTCATCTACAAGGAGCAGCCATGGAGTTAGCCCTTGAGGGTTGGATCATCACTACCATGAGTGGCTAGATATCTTCTTGGGGCTAGAGTTAGCCCCAAACATGCTTTCTTTACCTAATCTTGTGTAATTTTGAGGGATTTGTGTTGTAATGCATATTTTGATTCTTGAACTTATGAAGATCTTGATTATTCATTGAGTTCTATGGATTAATGCTTTTAATTGATCATTTTCTCTATCTATATGTCTATGTATGCTAGAGTAGATGCTCACCTCTAGATTTAATGTTATTGATGCATGTCTATGTGTATTAATGCCTTTAATCTTGAGATTGCCAAAATATGAAGTTCTTAATGTAATGCTCTTGTTATGTCTCTAGATGGTTCATACTTATTCCTTGATGGATTGTGTTTCTCTTTTAAGTAGTGTAGTGTTAGTTGGGGAAACAATTCATGCTTGTTCTTTGATGTTCCATGCTTTTGAATGCAAGAAGCATATGCTCTAATTTTGTGGTGTAAAGGAATTTTGAGCTTAATGAAGGATTAATGATTAGTTATGATATGTTGTATCTTTCACATGTGTTTAGACAATTTATTCCTCTCCCAATAGATATTTTGTACCTCTCACATGATGATTAGATAATGCATGTTTAACTAAGTCATCCTTATGGATTGCTTGGACTATGAGCTTAATGAAAGGTTCAATGACTTGAATTGTTATTTTGTTATCTTCACATGATGTTTAGACAATATATTCCTTTACCAATAGATGTATTGTGGCCTCACACATGTTGATTGAGACAATTTGCACTTGTTGAGTCACCCTTACCAATTGAATGTCTTTTACACACACAACATTGTTGCAACACATTCATTTCCCTCATTAGTCACTTGATTATGGTTTGGAATAGTATTGTTTGGTGGTGATCTCTACACCCCAAGACCTTTCCTTCTTACTTACTCTTTATCTTATTACATTGCTTTATTATAGTTTAACTCATTTAGTATCAACCAACCAACCAATTGTGTGATCACTCGACCTACTAACCCTAATTACCATAGTTCACAATTCGATACACCATCAAATCCCTTGGGACGATCCCTACTCGCCCTATCTATATTTTATATAGAGAAAGGTAGTAGTGGCTTTTTATAAATGTAAAACTTGGCCACCTCCTAAACACACATAACTCTCAAGCTTTGTTGGTTATGGCGACTCCATCAAGGAAACCGACAACAAGTTTTTGGCGCCGTTGCCGGGGATTTTAAATTGGCAACGTTGAATTGTAAAATTCAATTAGGATTAGTACTCTTTTGATCGTGTCTTTACTTTCTTTTTATTTTCTATTTTTGATTACTTATTAAGTTTGTTCTTCATTAATAAGGTGCATTAAGCAAGGAGCTAGCAAAGTAATTACAAGTTAAGGAGCAAAGCAAAGCAAAGGAAAAATGCTTAAAATGAAGAGTTGCTAAAAAATTTTTGCTAAGCTAAGCTTTTAAATTTGGAATTGAAGTGCTAAAGGACTATTGTGAGACCTTCTTACTCAATCTCCTTAGTTAAATCGGGGGCCCACGTGGTGGCATTGCATATCATTGAAAGC